GGCAACGAATGTTTCTCATCCCGTTGTTTTTCCTCTGTGGATGGCATGCTTATCTCTTTAGTAATCTCACTCAGAAGACATTCTGGGACCATATGCAATCATCATCATATCATCTGAAAACAGAAGCACCTGTCGTACTGCAGTCCCTCTTCTTTTTGAACATTGTGCCAACGTAGCCTGTTAGTCTGTGAAACATATTTGCTTCATTCTTCCATTCAGCAAGTATTTTATTTAAGCATCTGCTATATGTGGGCACTATGCTAGGTGAGTATACATCCCAGCTTGTTGCTTCTTCTGATGTTGATAGCGGATCATTGAACACAGTTATCTTTGGGTTGCTGTTTATCTTGGAATCTTGATTTTAACCTATGAGTGGGAGAAGCCATGTTTGAGGAAAAATGTATGACTTCCTTGTCCTTTTTAGAGTTACTTGATTTTAATCACCAAATAGACGTGATGGGATTTTATATTCCACATAGCTTTCAATTCACTTATATGACTGTGAAGATGCAGTTCACTATAGAAAGTCATCTGTGAACTGCTGCCCGACTCTCATTTTCTACAAGGATGTCCTCAATGCATGCACAAACTATTATCATTTAAGATTTTTTATAGAGAAGTGGTCCTGAAAATATTGGTCAATAGTTGCTCATGAATTCTCTGTTACTTTTTTTTGGGGGTGGTGGTGGTGATAACAGTATTATTCATAATTGTATCTATCCTTTTGAAATTTTCTTCTCCCCACTTCCCCTACCTTTTATAATTGGAGAAACTGAGGCCCAGCAAGATGAAATGTTATGTAATCTAACTTGGATTTTATTGCAGGGTCCTGTAAAACATTAATTTTACACTCTCCCTGAACCTTTCCAGCCCATTAATTGTAGCTCTGGTACTTTGAGGGTGCTTGAGATCAAAAGTCTTTTTTTCATCTCTTGCTTTTAATCTTTTTGTAGTAACTGAAACCCTTAATAGCTTGCAGTGACAGCATCTAATAGTGTATGTAGTATTCTCTATCTGTAGTCTCCCACCTCTCTACTTAGAAGTGAAAGATATCTCTCATACTTTGGTCTCTAGGACCATGACTAGTTATTAAAATTATTTGGTGTTTAGCTTGTTTTTAGTGTTCTTTTAATTTAGATCACTATAGTCACACTGTGTATTATTCTCCTTGTTCTTCTTTTTTCACTGTGCAACAGTTTCTTCTGTTTTCTCATGGAACTTAGGTTTTAAAAACAATTAAAACCAAATGCTTCTCATGGTCTTTCTGGAGTCTTCTAAAGTGATTTCTCCAAATACTTCATAAAACTAAATAGCCTTTCTCTGTAAAATGAGATACGGACTACTCTGTTTTCCAGAATACATTATTTTTCTTCACTGAATCTAAGGAAAACAGATGACTTCAGAAACTATCATACTTCTGAGCTGTGGATAAGCAATAGATAAGTCTTTATAACATGCTGGTAGCATTTATCCATTATAATGTTGAGATTTTTTTTTAACCTGGAAAATGCACAGCATTGGTGAGTTAGACCTATTTATCTCAGCAGTTTGGTATGTGTTAGAGTTACATTTTCATATTCCAGGCATACTGGCCTTCAGATACTCCTAATCCTAGGATTTAGGGAAAGAGTTAGGGCAGGGAGTTGGGAGAAGTGAGGAAGAAACCTATAGGCAGAAGAAAGGAGGTGAGAAAAATACACACAAAAGAAAGAAATGATACTTTTAAAATGTTTTAAAATTTTTTCTGAGTTTCTTCAAGATGAAAATATAGTGAAATTTTTCCCCTCGATCTGTTGGAACTTCATTTCTTTTTTTGGTGTTACAAAGGAGATAACATTAAAGGATGCTGTTACTTAAAAGGTGTGTTACATTATAATATCATAGTAGAGATTAGGGATTTAAGAGTTTGGGTTCTGTTCCTGGCAACTAGTCCCTAATCTGTCACTAACTGGGTGATCTTGCCGTGTCACTTAAACTTCCCAGGTCTCAATTTTTTCATCTTTTTTTTTTTTTGGCAATTGGGGTTAAGTGACTTGCCCAGGGTCACACAGCTGGTAAAGTATTTGGTCTGAGGCTGGATTTGAACTCAGGTCCTCCAGACTTCAGGGCTGGTGCTCTATCCACTGCACCATCTAGCTGCCCCTCAATTTTTTCATCTTTAAAATGAAGGCGTTGGACTGGCTATCTTAAGGATTCTTTTAGACTGAACATTTTATGATTTTAAAAATAGCTTCATATAGCACTTCCAAATTTGCATTTCATTTTTCCTTTAGTTCTGTGAGGTAGTCACTATGGGTATTATCTCCAGTTTGTAGATGAGGAAACTGAGGTTCAAAGAGTTTAAGGGATTTACCCATAATTATTTAGCTATTAACTGTCTGGGGGCAGGATTCAAACCTAGACCTATGATGACTTTCAGTATTGTATTCTTTCCATTATTTCATGCACTTCCTAGGCTCATAGCTAATAGCTAGTTCTATTCATAGGTATAAATTAATATTTGCTATTTTTTCACTAATTAATTATATAAGTTAATTTTTACTAATTACAAGCCAACTCCTTGTGATTAATAGCTGTGTTGCCCTGTACATGCCTCTAAATCTCCCTGGATCCCAGTTTGCTGAACCTAGGGTACAGCTTGGACAAAGGTCGGGGATGCGACAATGTGGTGTCATGTATGAAGAGTAGCACCGAATATTTCAGATATCTTCCAAACTGATTCTAGCTTCTTTCTATTGAAGTCTTTCTTACTGTGGGTCTTTAGGGAGACATTATGACTTGACTGCCCGGAATCAGTTGTGCCAGATACTTCATTTCTCTACTTTTACTACCTTGCTCATTTGTTTGGGATTTGTGTCTATGGCCTCATTGCAAACTGCTCTTAAATTCCTCTCTACAATCTAACATTACAGCCCCCTGCCCTGGTCCCCACCTCATTATTTCAAGGGATTTGCAAATTTATAAATGAACAGATATGCCTCCTATAGAATGTGTAAATACTATGCCTCTCACATGTATATTTGTTGTTGTTTAGTTGTCCAACTCTTCCTGACCCCATTTGGGGTTTTCTTGGCAAAGATACTGGAATGGTCTTGCTATTTCCTTCTCCAGCTCATTTCACAGATGAGGAAATTGAGGCAAACAGGGTTGAGTGACTTGCCCAAGTCACACAGCTAGCTAGAGGTTGAATTTGAACTCAGTTCTTCTTTACCTTAGGCCCAGTACTCTGTTCACTGTGCCACCTACCTGCTGTATATGTGTTGTTACTGTTTTTCAAATGTATGTTGATGAACAGTTGGGAACTTATCTTCCTGAGTTCAAACCTGGCCTCAGACACTTACTAGCTGTGTGACCCTGGGCAAGTCACTTTAACCTGTTTGCCTCAGTTTCTTCATCTGTAAAATGAGCTGGAGAAGGAAATAGCAAAACCATTCCAGTATCTTTGCCAGGAAAACCCCAAATGGGGTCAGGAAGAGTTGGACACAATTGAAAAATATCTGAACAACAAAGCCGTTGGGATGAATAAAAAGCAAATTCCTTTAAAATATTACTGAATTCGTGGTAATTTCTTGTCATGTATTTCCTCAGATAATGGATATTGAAGGAGGCAGGTTGTTATAATGGAAAAAGTCCTGGTTCTTAAATTCTAAGGCCTGAGTTTCAAATCCTGTCTCTTATCCTTCCTGCCTATGTGACCGTGGGCAAGACACTTTAACTTAGTGCCTCAGTTTCCTTATCTATAGAGGTTAGACGTTGAGGTGCCTTCTATGATCTTATTATCCTGTGATAGTATAATTACCATCATGGGGGATCCAAGAAATGCTTTAATTTTTTAAAAGGGCTTTTATACTTGAAAAGACTGGGAACCACTTTCCTACTTCATGGCCTTTTTGTCTCCCCTATTGACCCAGCTGCAACTATCTCAACAGCCTGTTTCCTGTTTCCTGTGACAATCTCAGCTGGAACTTGATCTTGGCATCTGTTAATATAAAAGTGTAAATGTGATAGGGAAGCTGCTGTCCTCACAGACATTCTGGAGATGTAGCTGCTGACAGTCATCCCACCTTATTTTCAGGAGTACATTAGCTATGATGTTCTCAGGGCAACTTGAGGACATTAAGTAAGTTAGGGACAATTGCTAGCCCCATACACCTAGGAGTTCAAGGCTCCCTTTCCTCCCTTGTACTGTTAGGGAAACAGAGATCTAGCTACAAATTCATCTCAATTCAGTAAGCATTTGTTAAGTGCCTATTGTATGTCAAGCACTGTGCCAGGGTTATGAAAATGAAACCGTCCCCACACATAAGGAGTTTATATTCTACTGTGGTAGAGCACAAGATATATGCAGTTAAGTAAATACAAGATATATACAAAATAAATATAAATTTAATTTGAGGGACAAGAGAAGAGCAGATGGAAAGGAGGAAGAGGGGAAGAGTGAAGATGCCATCAGCTATTTGCTTTGCAGCCAATGGGGAATTAGTCTACTATGATGTTTGCCACTCTGGTTCCTGGTATCCCATCTGCCTGTAGTAGACAGCTGTTTTCACTTAAATCTTTGCTCTCTTTCTGCTTCCTGTCAGGATTCCCAAACTTCACGTGGCTGTAAGGTCTCGTATTATCTCCTCTTCTTCAAGAGAGGAATCGTATTAGGAAGGTAGATTTGAAAGGGCTGTACTAAGAAGACTGATTGTGAGAAAGTTGAAATGTCAAGCATCTTTATGTTTTATCCTAGAGGCAGTAGGGAGCTGCCAAAACTTGATCAGAAGGGTAATGTCAGATACATGCTTTGGACTCGTAGTCCTTCCACAGTGCTAGTGTTCTGGCTAGGGAATCCTCAAGTTTCTGCTGAGTTGGGGCACTTGGCTGTTTAGAGTTTTAATTTGTATAATAACTTTTGACCTCTTTCTATTGGATCATGACTAGATTTTAGTAATCATGTCATTTTTATTTTTAATCTCATTTAATAGAATAATACAATGTCTTTTTTCCTTTCATAGGGCGTTAAAATCATGTGGACAAGGTGGTACTGCTCATGTAAAGTTAGTAGTGGAATGGGACAAAGAGACAAAAGATTAGTGAGTATTGTTTTACTTGGCAATTATGACATCATTGTTTTAGTTTTCTTTTTCAACTCTGACCCTTGAAAGATTTGCTGGGGATGGACAGAGGAAGACATCCTTTCCCCTTATTGTTATTTGGTTGTTTTTCAGTTGTGTCCAACTTTCTGTGACCACATTTGGATTTTTTTTTGTTGGCAAAGGTGCTAGAGAAGTTTGCCATTTCCTTCTCCAGCTTATTTTACAGATGAAGAACTAAGGCAAACAGGGTTAAGTGACTTGCCCAGGGTCACACAGCTAATAAGTGCCTGAGGCCTGATTTGAACTCAGGAAGATGAGTCTTCCTGACTCCAGTCCTGCCACTATCCACTGGCCACCTCCTTTCCCCTCCCCTGATGTAAATACCTTGAGAGTCTTGTATTCTATTTGACTCATTCTAGGCTTTGCTTCAGTTTTCCAGCCCCTCGAAACCTACCTCATTTGTTTCATAGCTAATGAAGTAAAGGCCATGAATTCAATTTCTATATGTCACTTGGCTTTATTGTATTCTACCTTCCTCCTTCCTATCCCTCCGCATAAGCTATTTTTTTTTTCAAATAGAACATTATATGTGATGGCAAAAGTGCAATAACTTTGGTATGAATTGCTTCAATTCATTCACACTACTCTAAACAAAATTCCAAATGCATTTTTTACTGAAAAAAAAAAGTGAGATTTGGAATCAGGGAGACCTTAGTTCAAATATCACTTCTGACCCTACTTGTATGATCATGGACAAGTCATTTAACTCTCTGAGCCTCAGTTTCCTCAACTGCAAAATGGACATAACAATGACCATAATATGTAATCTCACAAGGTTATTGTGAGCTCAAATGAAATAATGTATATAAAGTACTTTGTAACCCTTAAAGCTCTAACATAATTATAATACTATTACTAAGCATAGCACTTCTCAATTTTTTTTGTTGTTGTTTCATGAATTGCCATGGCCAAAGAATTCATTTCCCAATAGCCAATCTACTGGTGATATTCCTTTCTTTACTTATCTGGATAGGTCTTGGAAAACAGACTTGATATCTTCCAGCATAGTAGAATCTACCAGAAACCATGGTCCATTGGCATTGCCTTTGAGAAATCATGGTCAGTCAGCTCCGCACCACAATGAGACATTTATGTGGAAGGTGGGCAGGTCATTTGGCAAGAGCTAATATTTGGCAAGATCTGAATATTTGCTCCTCTAGTATTTTCATGATGTGAGGAGAAAATAAAGAAGGCCTCTAGCATTTTGTGTTGAACCTCTGTGGCAAACATACAGAAGGGCATGAACAAGGACTGGCAGACATGGATAGGTTACAGTCTGCATTGGTGGAGGAAACATCTTGTTCTGAGGTGTACTTGAGTACTCTTCAAAATCATATTTAGTTTGTTCCTGGTATTTTTATATCTCAGTCTTTTGACTGTGAACTCATTAACAGCAGCATGAACCCATGCTATTGAAAAGAGCTATAGCTGGTGCCATTTTAGTTTGCCTTTGTCTTTGGTAACTTCCTTCTTTCCTTTTTTCAGCTTATTTGTAAATACAGAAGATGAATATGTTCCTGATGCAGAAAGCGTCCGTCTGCAGAGGGAACGTCATCACCAGCCTCAGACTTGCACTTTATCACAGTGTTTCCAATTGTACACCAAAGAGGAACAGGTGAGTGAAGGTAGAATTGGTAATGCAGCAACCTAAGAGAGTGGAAAATTGGTAATTGGCAAACAAACAGGCCTAACGATTTCCCCTGGTTTTTAGCATATCTGTGTTTTGTGGAATGGTTTAATGCCTACTTAGAGGATGTTTGATACCAATTCCATCCAGTTAACTCTTGTTAATCTTAGACAAATCATCATTCTTAGCACATTGCCTGGAGCATAGTAAGTGCTCAGTGAATGCTTGTTGACTGTGGTTTGACACCTTGCCGGGTCACAGTTTCTCTATCTGGAAAACAGTAAAGATGGTGGTAGTAGTGAGGAGGTTGGATTAAATATCTAAGGTTCCTTCTAGTTCTAAATCCTAAGATCCTATGCTCCTTTTAAGACCTTAAGGTTATTAATATGAATATCAGTAAAACTTTGATTAATCAGATGGTTTAGAGCAGTGGTTCTTAACCTTTTTTGTTTTATAGGCTTCTTTGGAAAACCCTTCTCAAAATAACTTTTTCTAAAAAAATCACAATTGAAGGATATCTTAAATTTCAGTTAGAAGTTAGTAATAAAAGATATAGTTTTTTTCTCCCTCATTCAAGTTCACAGACCTCCTGAAATCACAGGCTATATAAGCAAAGAAACTCTGGTTGAGAGAATGAGGTGTACATATCGGCTAATTAAATTTTATGGTAAATTAAGAATAACACTGAAATCTCCTTTTTGTTTCAATTTATGGTGTTGAAAAGCTTTCTAAAATACATTAGTTCACTTGTGGGCTATATTTCATCCTTACTTTTCTGTAATTCTTTTCTTTCGTCTACCAAGCTGACAAGCATTTATTTAGCATCTACTCTGTGCCGGACACCGTGCTAAAAGCAAGACCGTTCTTAAACTTTAAGACTTTAATAATCCCATATGTTGTGTAGAATTTGGAATTTGTTCCACATGCCTTGGGGCATGTAAATGAAGCTGTGCCCTCCACTAAAATCTCTTTCCTTTGCTTCACGATGGTGTGGGCAGAATCCAATTTTATGCTGATGGAATAGCAGCTTTGGCAGGTGAACCTTGTCAAAGTACAGGTTGGACCAGGATCGCCTTTTCAACTCTGTGATTAGGTTTGTTTTCCTCCTTTCATTTTGAGTAGGGAAAGAAAACACTGGCTTTGGAGTCAGAAGACATGGATTCATATTCTGGCTTTGCCACTTACTGGCTGTGTGACTTTGGGCAGTTCTCTAACTCTGAGCCTCAGTTTCCCTATTTGCAAAATAAGGCAATAAGAGGAGGTAATAGTACTTCTACTGCCTGTGTCACAGGTTTCCTTTTGAGGAAAGTACATTGAAAACTCTTAAGGATGTAAAATGAGATATTATGTTATGTACAGATGCTTTCAGGATAATCTGACTTCACTGAATCTCACAGGAAATTCTGTATAGGCTTGTTTTCTCCTCAGCTGCTTTTTGCTATTTTATAAATCAACAATGTCCCAAGGCTTCTAATATTCTGTAATGTTTTACAAATGAGAGTGTATTCTCAACTGCTGTTGCTCTTGGTTTGGGTCTTTCTGCTTGGATGAGGGGGTCCAGTGCTGCCTGAGCCAATCTTTTGGTCTTGTTATTGCAGTGATTTTTGCATTGTTTTAATGCAAATAATGACAGGTAAAAGTTCAGACAGACTCTTTTTTTCTTCAGATTTGATGATTTATTTAAACAGGTCATGTTGGAATGGCAGTAATTGCATGTAGTGCCTTATTTTCATCCAATTTTATGAAATCTTTTTTTTTTCTCGTGGGATATTTACTTTGGCTTTTGCTCCAACCAGTTGATGTTTCAGCTGCACACAGATGGCTGCTTCTGAAATGACTGCTGCATTGGTAATCAGTTGTTTCCTGTCTGATAAGATATGCTCAGTGTAATTTCTAAAAAAATGATATCCTTTGGTGCTCTGCATGTCCACTGCCTCCTGACTCCTCAAAGTATTCATGGTGTTTGGGTATGCAGTTCTAGTCATCTTGGGCTTCTTTCATTTCTTAATACCAAACCACATTTTCTAACTGCTGTCATTGCCTTCCCCTTTGTCCTTCAACAAAGTTACGGCTATGTTGATCTCTTTTGGAGGATCTCATCAAGTTCACTGTAGAGCTTCTCTTTTTCTGTGTATTTTATGTTGGATGTTGGTACCTAAGCTATAGTTCTCCTCGTGGCCTCATCTATTTAGGTTTACTGTTCGTGATCATGGAAAGGTAAGGTGACAAAATGATCATGTTTTGGTATAATGGGAGGAGCATTGTATTTGGAGTCAAGGACATGGGTTTGAATCAAAGGCAGCATGGCATAGTGAGTAGCATGCTGTACTTAAGAGTCAGAAGACCTGGATTCGTATCTCTCCTCTGACACTTAGTAGCTATGTGAGCATAGATCTATGGTCTTATGCATCCCAGCTCTGCTGTTTCCTACCCGTGTGACCATGGCAACTCATTTAACTGTTCTCAACCTCAGTTTTCTCTTTTAAAATATGAGAGAGTTGACTCAGGTTCTCCCAATAGTTCATGAAATGAAGGGCAATCTATAAAATTCCATTCATTATAAAATCCTATAATACAACGAGTACATTAACTATGCTGTCAGTTATATATGCCTGTGGTATAAGTCTAAACTTTGGGCATTATGTAGCAAATCAAAGGCAACATGGTGTGAAGGAGAGTCATGGAGGCATGCGAAATCTGGGCTTGAGTCCTGATTCTGATATTTAGTACCCATGGGACTCTAGATAAGTCACTTAACTTTTCTGAGCCTTGGTTTCCACATGCTTAAAATGCCATTATACAATGGCATGCCATGATAATAATATCTGGTTGTTATGAGGAAAGTACATGATATCCCTTAAGGTACTATATGAATGTAGCAGTCAAGTCCAATTTGATGTGAACATTAATGTCTTTCTTACCTCAACAAGCCATCAAACCCTTGTAATTTCTTCATCATAAGCCAAGGCTGCTTCAACTGGAAACCAGATTTCCAATATGGTATAAAATCCTATTTTCAAGTGGACCACTCATAGATGAACTCAGCAGTAGGTATTTTCTGGAATGGAATGGTTAGATTTATAGATTTAGAGTTGAAAGGAACGTTGGAAGCCATCTAGACCAACACTCTCATTTTACAGTTGAGGAAACTCAGGCCTAGAGAAGGTAACAGGTAGTACCAAAGCCAGCGTAGTTTCCACTCTATACCATTCTCCATTCAATCCCTGTGACTCCACAGATCAGAACTCCTTTCTCTGGTTAATACTCCTCCATGTATAGTGTCTTCCTATTAGAATGTCAACTCTTTGAGGTAGGGACTGTCTTATCTCCTTTTTGTATTTGTATCCCCACCTCACACATAAGAGGTGTTTAATAAATGCTTGATGGTTGATTGATCTACCTTATTCTGGTTCTAGGATCTGCCTTCCACTGCCATTTGAAGCTAATCATCTGCTTTCCCAGCATTTATCTTTATTTTCTTTAAAGCAAGAGTTTTGTCTTTGTATGTATTTTGAGGGGCTCATGAACTTGGACTTGAAAATGTATCTTTATTTTCATTAACTTTTGGTTTCCTTTGTAATCCTATTTTATTTCTTAAATTTAACAACCTTATTCTGAGAAGAGATCTTATAACTAGATCACTAAAGGGGTTCATGTCACAAAAAAGATAAAGGACCCCTTTATGTCCAAAGTCTTGTTCTTTGTACTATGCCATCATGTGCCTTATCTCTTTTTAACCAGCAAGATTCTGAATTGGAAAGTTTCCTGGGAAGGAAAAATTATTTCACTTAATTAATTCCCTTATCATTGAAAGATGTAGTTTAACACAAGGATAACTGGTCAAAAAAAAAATTAAACCAATCCTTTTGCAATTAGCCTGTCTCTGTGACCTTGTATAAATCATTTCACTTCTTTGGGACTGAGTTTCTCTATATGTGACATGAGGGGGTTGGATTAGATCCTCTAACACTTGGCAATTCTCATTTTTAGCTTGCCCCAGATGACGCTTGGCGTTGCCCACACTGTAAGCAGCTGCAGCAGGGGAGCATAACATTAAGCCTGTGGACCTTGCCTGATGTGCTTATTATACATTTGAAGAGATTTCGACAGGTAAGGGCATCCTCTGTGGGGTAGGAAGAATCCCAAGGAAAAATTGTAAGTTTTCAGTACTGTCTACTAAGTAACTTTCCTCTAGTGGAATGGCGCCCCCAAGTGGTCCTATTAGGAATAGCCCAGAACTCCACTATTCTATTTCTGTAACATCTCCTTAGCATCCAAATCAATGTTGAGCATCCTCTCTACCAGCTTCCAAATTTGATCTCATGTTGCAGTTTCTTTGCTTTGCAATTCTTTAGTGTTTATTTTATTGATCATATTTCCAAATGCTTACCTTATGCTTTGGAGGTGTGTGTGAAGTTAGTAGAGAGTAGAACCCAAGTAATCGGGATCAGAAGTAATGAGGTCTAGATAATTGCAATTCAACTTCATCTAAAGTATGGCTGCTAGCTCTCATTCCTTCTGTTAGTTCTTGGAAGTAGCAGAGCAAGATTTGATGTACAGTTGCCTGATACACAACTTAACCATTCAGTAGAATGTAAGTTCCTTGAGGACTGGGCTTCTTTTTGCCTTGCCTTTCTATCCCCTGTGCCTAGCACAGTGCTTGCACACAGTAGGTGCTTAATGTTTTCCATGTTTAAAACATTCCAGGAAAGGTGTTTTTTAATACCAGAAGAACTTGTGTTGGTATTGTCTGGGAAATGCAGCAGCTATAATTGGTACAATTGTGACAACAGATGGCTCATTGAATGAAGAGGGGGAGGGATACATTTGGTGTAGAGTTGCTTAATAAATATATTTTGAAATGAAGGTTATGTAAGAACAACAGATACCAATGATTTTTTTTTGTAAGAGTTCTAAATGGTTATTAGGTGTCATTGAAATAGTACTATTTATGAAATAGTATACAAATGAAATAGTACTACTCCAGGGGCATCATAAGCTAAGTAAGTTTTTATAGGTTAGCCTGGGGAACCCAAGTGTAATTTAAAACATTTTTTTAAAGGGTGAGATTTATTTTGGATTCCAAACAGCTGATTTATAAATAAACTCTTAGAACTCAGTCTGTTAATAAGAAGTTGGCGCCTATTTGTAGGATGAGCTCTTTATATTTCTACTATTAGAGGGGAACAGAACCTGTGTATATTAATTTCTCTTTTCTTTGGGATGTGGTCCTGTACTTAGGAATGAGATGGGGCAGCTAGGTGGTGAAGTGGATAGAACACCTGAATTTGAATCCTGCCATAAACACTTACTAGCTGTGTGACCCTGGGTAACTCGCTTATCCCCTCTAAGCTTCAGTTTCCCCATCCGTAAGAGGGACATAACAAGAACACTTACCTCATGAAGTTGTTGAGGATCAAATGGAATTATATGTGTAAAGTCCTTTGTAAACCTTAAAGCCCTACATAAATGCATGGAGGCAGCTGTGGCATAGTGGATAAAGAGTGGCCACAGAGGGTTGAACAGGTTCAAGTCTTGCCTCTGGCATATGTTAGCCATATGATTGGTACCCCAGGTAAGTCTGGGTTGTATCCAAATGCATCTAGGGCCCTGTTCCACTGTGACTCCTGTGTCCACCATCTTTGTTCAGAGACAATCTGTCCTGCCATTGCTTCCCAACATTCTCAGGGCCTTGCTCTTTGCCCAAATGCTTTCCCTGCAGGACCCAAGTACCACCTGACCTTTCTGTTTGCCAGGTATGGAAAACTCCTTTTGTGTTGTATCTCCCAATTAAAGTGTGGGCATCTCGAGGGCAGGAACTGCCTTATTTTTCTATTTCTAGCCCCAGGATTTAACACTATACTTGGCACATAGTAAATACTTTTCTGTTCTATAAGGCGCAGAGCAGGTGCCAGTCAGTCTTCATTGGTAGAAGGAGGTACTTCCTTCTCAGTTTCTTGTACCAGTGAAATCACAGAAATCACAGGTCTGCGCCAAAAATAAATGTATGTTTTCAATTTTGTTGGTGTTTTGTTTTTACATAATTTAAATTTCCTATTGTATTCTTCCCCTCTCCTCTCTCAGAGAGTCATCTCCTATGTCGACTTTTCTTTTTTCTTTTATTATTTTGTATCTCCCCATTCCCCTCATTGAGCAAATTCAAACAAAAAATAAAGCCCTCAGTGCATAGATATAGTCTAGTCACATTTGGCTATGTAAAATTTCCATATTGGCTATGTAAAAAAAAAAAGTATATTTCTTATTGCATTTTAAATTCCTCACTTTTTCAACAGGAGGTGAGTGGCATGTTTTGTATTCATTCTTCTGGGCTTGTGGTTCCTCATTGCATTGATCATAGTTCTAAAGTCAATGTTGTTGCTATTGTAGAAAATGTTCTCTTAGTTATGCTCACTTTGCTCTGTATCCGTTCATAGAGGTGTTTCCTGTTTCCTCTAAAATTATCCATATCATTTCTTACTACACAATAATATTCCATCACATTCATATACAATTTGCTTAGCTATTCCTCGGTAGAAGAAATGCTCCTTTAGTTTCTAATTTTTGGTTACCACCAAAAAAGTTGCTATAAATATTTTATATACAAATCCTTTTCTTTTCCTTTTTTCCTTTGTGAATATAGATCTAGTTGAGGTATAGCTGGGCCAACGGTATTTATAGTTTAGTAATTTATGGACCATAGTTCCAAATTGCTTTCCAGAATGGCTTGTTTTCCTGTAGCTCCTCCTTCTCCTCCTCTTTTTCTCCTCCTCCTTCTCCTTTTTCTCCTTCTTCTCCTCTTTTTCCTTCTCCTCCTCCTCCTCCCCCTCCCCTTCCGTCTCTCCCTTACTATTCTCCTCAGTCCTTCTCCCTCTCCTCCTCCCTTCTTCTTTTCAATTTCTTCTTCTTTCTTCTCTTCATGTAGTCCAACTTTGTACCCAGTATAGCAATCTCTCCTGAAATGTCCCAGACAGATGGTCCACTAGCCTGAGGTGGAATATTTCCAGTGACAGAGAGCTCACTAGTTAAATCTGCATCCGAGTGTACATAATGTCCAGGAGATTCTCTTCACTCATATTAGTCAGCCTGCTGGGAAGGAGCAACTGTACAACTGAACCATTCACACATCCTCTTGCAATGTTCAGATCTTCCCTAGCATATCATGCTTTGGACTGAGGGCAACTCTTCACCATAAGCAGAGCTACCTTCTTCCTATCAAAATGTTCTCTGGTAGAACACTTGTATTTCATAGGGCTTCCCTATTAGAAAGTGAGGTAACACTTGAAATTGGCAATAAACTAAATTATTTGGTACAATAGTTGGCCAACAAGCATTTATTAAGCTCCTTCTATATGTCAAGGGAGTAAATACTAGTGTACTTGGAAGAAAAATTTGAAGAATTGACAATACCAAAGAAAGAATATTTGTAGCCTTGTTTTAATGTGATTGGAAAGTATTCTCCCATTTATTTATTGTCCCATTTAACATTAAGGAGGTAGGTTCATTGGACAACAGCATGGTTCACTGGCAAGAGTTTGGAGTCAGATGACCTGTGTTTGAATCCTGCCTTGGCCACTCACTGACCAGTGTGAAACTTGACAGGTCACTTGACATCTTTGGGACTCAGTTTCCTCATATGTTAAGGGTAAGGGAATTTGACTAGATGGCCTCCGAGGACCCTTTCAGCTCTAAATCTAAAATTCTGTCATCAAACCACTGCCCTGATTGATTAAATAAGAAAGATAGTTGAATAGGCACCAAGCAGAATTGACTTTTTTACTTATACTTAGTTGAAGTGGTCACAACTTGTGTTCTCCTTGAAACAGGAGGGCGACAGGCGAATGAAGCTTCAGAACATGGTGAAATTTCCTCTAACTGGCCTGGATATGACGCCTCATGTGGTAAAACGGAGTCAGAGCAGCTGGAGCCTCCCATCCCATTGGTCTCCATGGAGACGCCCATATGGGCTAGGGAGAGATCCTGAGGACTACATCTATGATCTTTATGCTGTGTGTAATCACCATGGGACCATGCAAGGGGGACATTATACAGGTAATCATGCAAGGCTGCAATTTGAAAAGCTGAATTACTTTTCTGTTGATCTCTCAGATTTTTATCTTGCTGTAACAGAATTTCTTGGTGTTTTGTGGACCTTGCTTCCCCTGTCAGCAACCAGGTGAAACCAAACATGTGTGGTGGCAATTCTCATCACATCTGCACGTGTCCATGAGTAAAATGAATGAAGATTCCCCCTTCTTTCCTTGATCTGAGCAAAAGACGGCTAAAGTAGCATCTCATTTATCTATTTAAAAAAAATTAAGATATTCAGATTAACCATTAGGCTTCCTAATTTGTACCACCGGAATAAAGCTTTAACTGTCTTTGTCCAAGGATTCGGATAGTAATGGTAATGATAGTAACAGTAGTAGTATGAATGAATAAAATGAATGAATGAATGAACCATAGAGCATTTGTTAAATGCTTACTATTGTTAAATGCCAAGTATTATGCTAAATGCTTGGGATATAAGTACAAAAGTGAAGACAGTTCCTACCTTCAAGAAGCTTATATTCTAAAAGGGAGACAGCACAAATAGGGTACAGGTATCCATAGTGAGGTTTTGCTGGCTTGGAAAGTTATAGGGGTAGTAGATTGACACACCTTTTCCAGTAGTAATGGTGGTATGGATTTTATTTCTAAAACTGGAAAGTGGGAATTGGGTATAGAATAGATGATGATGGGGGATAGATGTAGAAAAGAAAAGGACTATCATAAGAAGAAGATGGCTAAGGTCTAAAGTAGTAGGAGTAGTAATGGTGATGATATTAAGGCCTTCAAAATATAGATATCTTGCCAAAAAAAATTTAAAAATATGGGAATAGGATTGTCTAGGCTGCTACTAGCACTGTCCAGGAGATGCTTTCTATGAAGCTACAGAAGATGAGATTCCATCCCAGGACTTTTTTTTCAGTTATAAAAAGCAGATGCTTTATCTACCTGTTTATACCAGGGGTGGGGAACCTGCAGGCTTGAGGCCACACGTGGCCTTCTAGGTCCTCAAGTGCAGCCCTTTGACTGAATCCAAACTTCACAGAACAAATCCACTTAATAAAAAGATTTATTCTGTATAACTGGGACTCAGTCAAAAGGCTACACCCAAGGCTACATGTGGCCTCGAAGTTGCAGGTTCACCGCCCCTACAAGTCTAGACTATTACATACAAATAGAAAATAATAATAGCAAGATAGCAACTTGTCCTAGGACCATTTCTCTCTGAGCTTCATTAAAAGAGATGAGAATGGGATGATAATCATAAACTCTTATTTATAATAGTGCTTTATTGCTTTCAAAATGCTTTCATATATATTATCTCATCTTACCCTTATGACTTTGTGAGGACAGGCATTTTTATCCTCATTTTATAGGTGAAGGAACCTCAGAGAAATTGCTACTTGGATGAAGTCACATGGCCACTAAGTGGAACAGCTGAGCCTAGAACCTCAGTCTCTTAACTCTGAATCCTGTATTTGTTCTTTCCCCTCATTCAGTCAATGAGTAGTCATTAAGTGCCTACCATGATGTGTTAGCCACTGTGCTAAATGCTGGGGTTACAAAGAAAAGCAAAAGACAGTCCCTGGCCTCAAGGAGTTAACAATCTAGTGGGGAGACAACAAGTAAACAAATATATACAAACAAGCTATATACAGGATAAACAAGTAATCAACAGAGTGAAGGCACTAGAATTAAAAGGGATTCAGAGACTCTAGAAGGTGGGATGTTTCCTCCCTCCCCTACCTTGTCACCCTACAAGATTATATAAAATATTTTAAAGTGAATTCTGAGTGTTTCTTCTTTGGAAAGGAGTTGGACCAAATGATATCTAAAGTCTCTTCTGAATCTTAAGAAATTCTTAAGAGTCTTTTGAGCCCAAATTTTTGAACTTTAAACTTACATGTCTCATATACTCATTGAGACTTAAAGCTGGAAAGGACATAAGAGATCATTTTACTAATGAGGGAAATGAGGCCTGGAGATGTATCTGATATCATGCAGTTTGCTTAAGAGTGAGTATGATTAGCTACAGATGATCCTTGCTTTGTTACACTTCGTGTTTTAGAGCTTTGCCCATTCATTGCTGTCTTGCTTCACTTCTTGGTGGCATTATCTGTTAACTCATTTCAGTGGTTTTTGCAACAGGACCTATGGTGCTGGTTTTAGGGAAGTGATAGGAATTAGATAATCTGAGAAATGGCTCTGTTAGCTAGTATTTACAAAAAAAAAATACCCATTGCTCATATTCCAAAAGCCACCAAATATTTAGAGCCATTACTATATGGAAGCACATCATCTTAGGTGGGAGACTTTGAGTCTGGAACACTGAATATAATTCCAGAATTTTTCAAAGAGTTGTTTTGTTTAAGTGTTTTTTCTCTTTCTTTTTAAAAATAACTATCTGGGGGGAAGCTAGGAGGTGCATAGATAGAGCACTGGCCCTGAAGTCAGGAGGACCTAAGTTCAAATCTGGCCTCAGACCAAACACTTGAAACGTACTAGCTGTGTGACCCCGGGCAAGTCACTTAATCCCAATTGCCTTAAAAAAAAACTATCTGGGAGGGAGGAAAGGGAAGGATACATTTAGAAATATAGATGATGGAAAACCAGAAGATATCAATAAGAATTTATTTTTTCAAAGTATGCCTGACCCTTCTTCCACTATTCTTTGTTTGATATGTGTGTGGGAGGAGAGGTTAAAAAAAAAGACAAGAAGAAAAATTCTGGACTCTTAAAACTTTACTTCTGAAATCCTTAATGAGGTCTTTAATTATTTAAATGCTGCAAATGACTATTTTTAAAAAAAGTGATCCCAACTTTTAATACAGCTCCCAGTTTAACAAAATGATTGTTTTTTTGAGTGCCATGGAAAATTTTTCCAGAAAAAAGAACATATTAAAACCCTTAAAGTAATGTTTTTAACAAACACATATTACATAGCAATACAAACCGCCCCCCATCCCAAAGCCCTCCTAAGTTCTATGAATGCAAGCAGAATTATTAACTGTTTCATTATTTATTATCATTAACTCAAAATTTAAGATGTATAAAGTTCAAGTCAGTTCAGCAAAAAAAAAAAATCAAGCTCTTACAATGTGCCAGAAACTAGAGAAAAATGAAACATGGCTCTCTAGGTGTTTAGAATATATTTGGGGGAGAATGGGACGTGTACACAAATAAGAGTGACACAGAATAGAATACGATAAGGACAAAGGAAAAATACAGGCAGAGTGCTGTAGGAAACGTGAGGAAGCAAGAGCTGTATTTTTTAATGTGCTGCATGTACACTTTATAGGACATCAAGGCCTCTCGTATAATCAGTGTGTTCAGTAAATTTATAAGCATTTTATAGAACTTGGAGCATAATTTTACTATCTTAAATGATGATGGAGGTTTATAGCTGTTGGATCTTTGCTTTTATGACATAGTTGGTCATATCTATAATTTACTTGATGTTGACTCAAAGAATCTGAGGGTTGGAAGAGACCTCAGCACTTAAATAGTACAATCTCCCACCAAATGCAGAAATTCTTTATGTAATAGCCATGACAGATGGTTATCCAGCCTTTCCTTTGGTCAGGAATGTAACCCCCTATTAGAATACTGCCTCTGTGGGAAAATACAAGCTGTTTTATAGTGCAGGTTCAAGAAATGCACGTGCAGCAAAAAACAGTCTATGCCAGATTTTTACCAGCTAGTGTGGCTGCTTACATAGAACAGACTTGGTAAAAACCAACTTAACCCCTTTCCTTTGTAAAATTTAGTCATTTCTCCTTAGTTTCCATGCTTGGGCATTACCACTGCCTATCTTTGACATCTGAACATCTAAGAATTTTACTTTTGTCAATAAATTGTATTGAAAAATAGATCTTCTCAGTGGTAGAGAGCCTGAGGGGATGGAAACTATTCCATTAAGCATTTACTCCTTGAAATCTTAGGAAGAATTTATTTTCTTCTTCCTACAAGGGAGAGTTGGTAAATAATAAATAAAAATAAAGTAAATAAAAATAATTTTTCATAGATGTCATTTACCTATAATGTATGCATTGCTGTGTCTCATTGCATTTGTCTGAATTTGGTAGCCAACTAGCATTAATTAAGCACTTATTGTGTGCCAGGCACTGGGCTAAGCATTGGTTATACAAAGAAAGACAAAAATACATTTCCTGCCCTTGAGGAGCTTACATTCAAATGAGAGCAGATAACCTGCAAATAATTGCATACATATAAAATGTATATGTAAGTGCAACATAATTTTAGAGGGAAACCAGTAGCAATGGATGGGGAGGAAGAGCAGGTAAGTCCTTTTGCTGAAGATGGAATCTAATCTCTTTCGAAGAAAGTCAGGCAAACTAGGAGTCAGAGGTAAGATGGGAGAGCATTCTAGGCATGGAGGATATCCAATACAAATTCACAGTTGGGATATGGAATGCCAAGTGGGAGGGAAGAGTAGGTAGGCAGTGTAGCTGGATCATAGGGTGCATGGCAAAAAGTGAACTGTAAGAAGACCAGAAAAGTATGAGGGAGCCAGGTTCTGAAGGGCTTTCATGCCACAGGATTTTATATTGATCTTGGAGGTAATAGAGGGTCACTAGAGTTTATTGAATAGGGGGATGACACAGTCAGACATATGCTATAAGAGGATCACTTTGGTGGCAGCTGAGTTGAAGAGGTCAGACTGGTGTGGGAAGAAACTGAAGTCAGAGAAGCCAGTCATTAGACTCATGCAGTAGTCCAGGCTAGAGGGGAAGATGGCCAGTAGAAAGGTAATGATTATGTAGAGAGAAGGGGTTGTATATGAGAAATGTTATTTTAATCTACATAATAGGATTTAACAACAGATTGGGTATGTGAGTGAGTGAGCAGGTGGAGAATGACATTTAGGTTGCAAGCTTCAGTGTCTGGGTGGAAGACATGTGGTGCTCTCCCTCTCCGCCCAGAAAAAGATCTGCAATTTTCATTAATGTAGCTACTCCCTCTACTGACGGAGGCCACATTAATAATAATATCAGTTATAACAGCCAGCATTTGTATAGTGTTTTAAGATTGGAAAGCATTTTTTTAAATATATCATCTCATTTGTTCCTCCCTACAACTTTGTAAGTTAGTTGCTATTATTTTTCCCATTTTGCTGGTGAGGAAATGGAGGTTTTGAAGGCTAAGCAACTTAGTCAGGGTCACACAGCTAGTAAGTTCCTGAGGCAGGATTTAAACACAACAGTGTTTTCATAAATAATTGTTGTTGCAACAACCTCATTGGTCAACTTTATGATGTATGTACTATTAAAGAGCCTTTCCTTTACTAACATCTTCCTCTGATGTCTTTTTGTGGTGTCTGTGACTCTTGAAGGTGGTACCAATAGCTGTGACTGGTCCAGCCAAGTTAGAAAGGCTCTACATATGGACCTTTTGGTGGGCTATTGGCCAAGGAACAGCCTAGATAAGTGTGGAGAAGGTTATTATGAAAGGTTGTTCATTAATGAGTATTCTGGCAAAAACAACTCATATAACCATTTACTAAGATTTGGAAAGGCTATAATAAGTTGGGAGAGTCAGGGTAGTATAGCAGATTGAGGTGGTATACTTGGAGTCAGGAAGACCTGTTTTTGAATACTGCTTAAGACACTTACTGGTGGTGTGACCCTTAGCAAGTCACTTAATCTCTCTGAGTCCCAGTCTCCTCATCCTTAAATAGGGATAATAATAACACCTATCACACAGGGTTGTGAAGATCAAATGAAATCATACACATAAAGGACTTTGTAAATAGGAAAATACCATATAAATTCCATCTATTTTTATCATCATCATCATCATCATCATCATCATCATCACTGTGATCTGTCTTGGAGGGAGTAGTCACATCAATGAAAATTCTAGGTTGTTTGAAGTATAAGCATCATGGCAAGAGACATAGCACTGTATACATTGTAAGTGCGTGCTGTCCATGAAAGATGGCAACATAATGACTCTCCCTTATAGGGCAGGGAAAGCTAGGCACTGGGGACTGTACCTGGTACAGAGAACTCTTGGGTGAGGAAACTCCTACCAGTTCTTTGCAGTTGCAGTTTTAATGAGGTGCTTAGGGCAGTGGTTCTCAACATGTGGTCTTGGGACCCTTGAGGATCCTTGAGACTCTGTAAGGTCAAAATTATTTTCATAATAATGCTAAGATGTTTTAATTTTTAATGTGGTGGATATTGATAGAAATAACTCCCATAAACAAAAGCTCTTTAGGCAGGGGTAGTCCTGAGACCAAAAAGGTTAAGAACCTCTCACCTAGGAAGGTTAAGTTATGCAACCAGTATGTGTCAAATGTGAGACTTCAAACCAAGTCTTTCTGTCTCTGAAGCCATTTCTTTATGCCCTACATAATTCTGCCTCTCAGGAGTTCTTATGAGGAAAAATGCTGACTCCCTTGTGGGAAGAAAATAATTAGAATTGTTTTGCAAATGCATCAGTTATACATCCATTTCCCCCTAAGATCAATTGCTATTTCCAAACCTGTGATAACAAATTGTAGATTTTGCAGAGAATGAGATTATAATATAGCTTCTTAGAGGATGACAGGACTCTTTTGTGAACACAGTTTTTATTTGTTTATTTCAGCTGCAACATGCATATTCTTCATTTCTATCTCAGGCTATTGGTTAGACCTGGAAAGGAGGATTCATCATCTTTCAGTATTAGTAGTATTGTTCTCTACCAGCCTGATGAGCATGTATGGGGTCATCTCTCAGTACCTTCACTGTAAGCAAAAGCTCGAGCATTGCATCATATTTAAATAGACTGGGTGTATTATGTTTTAACATTGACCAAATATTTGAAAGATAAATGGAACTCATTTTCTTGTGTGGCTGCCCTCCCGTTTCTACACATGTGCAGCAAGGAACTATTGCTTGAGTGTGATGCATAACCTGGGTTATCTTTTGTCTTTTTCTAAGAAAGTTGCACTAATTGATTGGATTAACTACCTGCTCTCCTCTTGAAAATGCCCTAAATTTACCCTATAACCCAAAGCAATGGTGCTTTGTAGTTCATCCCACGGCTGATTTTGGTGAGGCATTAATGGGAATGAAATGGTGCTGAAATTGAGCTAACTAATGATGGAAATTTCTCGTTGACAGCATACTGTAAGAACTCAGTGGATGGTCTCTGGTACTGCTTTGATGACAGTGATGTACAGCAGTTGTCTGAGGATGAAGTCTGTAAGCAGACAGCATACATACTTTTCTACCAGAGGCGAACAGCTATACCATCATGGTCAGCCAACAGCTCTGTGGCAGGTGAGGCCAGCTTAGGTTTCTGGGAAATGTAGTCTTTGTGTAAATTTTCTAGCATAGAAGATTGACTTTTGGTGTAATGCCTTCTCAGAAGGTCTTTTCTTTATGTAACTTATGATCCTGCTGTGTTAGTTCACCAATGATATTGGGATGGTCTCAAAATCACCACTAATCAAGAGATGAGAAAAGGACAAACAAAATCCCCAAGAAGATGACCAGACAATGACAATGGGGGAAGCTGCCTTCATATCAGAAATATGAGGATGGGGCTACTACAGAAATTTGTACACCCATAAATAGTTTGGATAAAGTTAACAATGGACTCATACAGCAAATCAAATCTTGGGATATCTTGGCATTGAAGGGACTCCCCTTGAAACTTGAGAGAAGTTGAGAAAGAAAGAAAAGCAACATTATTTCTTATATTGGGAAATGGTATGAGGAAATTCATTATCCCAAGAAGAATAATATTGATTGAAATTAAGACTGTAAGAATGTTAAATAAGTTTATGGGTGATGGAACCGTGTGTTGGGAAAGGAGATTGGAATGTGTTGGAGGGACATCACTAACCTCTTTGAATAATAGTAGTGAAGATATCCAAGCTTGGTGCCTGGCAGAGATGGAATACTCATCTGGATACACTATGAGATTAACCTTATTTGGCATTTCTTATGCTCTTATGACCTTAGAACCAAATCATGATTACTCAAGAAGCTGCTTGGTAGATAACAGTAGTTCCTGCCCCAGGAAGAAGAATATAAAATTAGACTCTAAAATTTTACCCCAAAGGGGTGGTTACTCACTAAGCAATCATCCAGGTTAATTATGAGATGAGAAAGTCGGATTTTTTTCCCCCCAGGATGAATGGCGTATGACTCTTACCCCCGTGGAATGCTATTCCTGGGAGTCAAAGCCTTAATGTTACCCTATTCTCTAAAGGATCTCTGCCTATTTAAATAGCTTGTAGCTTGTAGCATGTGCAAACTGGCACCCTCCTGGGTTCCATTTCTGGCGAATATACTGCTTGATTGAAACTAATTTTTTTTTAATATAAATTTATTTATTTTTAGTTTTCAACATTCACTCCCACAAATTTTTGAATTCCAAATTTTCACCCCGTCTCCCCCCTCCTCCCACCCCAAGATGGCATGCATTCTGAATATCCCTTCCCCTGGTCTGTCCTCTCTTCTATTTCTCTCCCCTTCTCTTATCCCCTTCCCTTCTATTTTCCTATAGGGCAGGATAGACTTCTGTACCCCATTTCCTGTATTTCTTATTTCCCAGTAGCATGTGAAAACATTTTTTTTAAACATATGTTTTTAAAACTTTAGGTTTCAAATTTTCTCTCTTCCTCTCTCCCCACCCACCCTCATTGAAAAGGCAAGCAACTCAATATAGGTTATACATGTGCAGTTATGCAAAACACATCCATAGTAGACATGTTGTGAAAAACTAACTCTATTTCCCTTAATCCTATCCTGCCCTCCCATTTATTCTATTCTTTCTTTTGACCCTGTACCTCCTCAGAAGTATTTACTTCTGATTACCCCCTTTCCCAATCTGCCCTCCTCTCTATCATCCCTCTGCTCTCTAGTCCCCTTCTCCCCCTATTTTCCTGTAGGTTAAGACAGATTTCCATACCCAATTGAATGTGTATGTTATTCCCTTCTTAAGCCAAATCCTATGAGAATAAGATTCACTCGTTCCCTTTCACCTTCCCCCGTTTCCCCTCCACTGTAAGAGACTTTTCTTTTCTGTTTTTTTTGTGAGATAATTTACCCCATTCTACCTCTCCCTTTCTTCTTCTCTGAGTATAATCCTCTCTCATCCCCTAATTTTATTCTCCAGATATGACCCCTTAATCTTCAGCTCACCCTGTGCCCTCTGTCTATCTATCTACATATGCATACATATAATTTTTTTCCTCCAACTACCCTAATACTGACAAAGGTGATTGAGACTAATTTTGAAAGGCAACTTGGGCCCACATGTATAAAAATATTTATAGCAGCTCTTTTTGTGGTGACCAAGAATTGGAAATTGAGGGGATATCCCTCAGTTGGGGAATGGCTGAACAAGTTGTGATACATGAACGTAATGGAATTGTTGCATAAGAAATGATGAGCAGGCAGATTTCAGAAAAACCTGGAAAGATTTACATGAAACAATGCCAGGTGAAGTGAGCAGTAACAGAAGAACATTGTACACAGTAGCAGCAACATTGTGTGATGATCAACTATGATAGACTTTGCTCTTCTCAGCAATACAATGATCCAAGACAATTCTAAAGGACTCGTATTGGAAAATGCTATCCATATCTAGACAAGGAACTATGGACTCTGAATGCAGAGCGAAGCATATTATTTTCACTTTTTTTCTCATAGTTTTTCCCTTCTGTTCTGATTCTTCTTTCACAACACAACTAATGTAGAAATATGTTTAGCATGATTGTACATGTATAACCTATATCAGATTACTTGCTGTCTTGGGGAGGCAGAAAAATTTGGAACTTAAAATCTTGCAAAAATGAATGTTGAAAATATCTTTACATATAATTGGAAAAAATAAAATATTGTTAAGTGCAAAAAAAAAAAGACAACATGGTAAACCCAGGGAAGCAGTGTAATATAATAGAACAAATGATAACTTTGGAGAGAGAAGAACTGGGTTTGAATGCTACCTTTTATCCTAACTACTTATATGATTTTGGATAAGTATTTCACCTTTCTGGGTCTTGCTACAGCACCTTCCAAATTATATCTGTGATCCCATGAATTTCAGTCATCCTGGGATAGTTTCATAGGTTATCAGTGAATATAAAAATAGCTTATTAAAGTTGGGAGGGATCTCAGAGGTCCTTTGGTGTAGACTATACCTGAAGCATGAATCTTCTCTTATGCTCCCCCAAAAGTAGCCATCTGTCCTTCACTTGAATACTTCTAGTAACTGGAGACTTGTTATCTTTCTAGGCAGCTCATTTAATATTTGAGTTGCCCTATACTGGGTGTATATACTTGTTACAGGGTCTACGGGGTGTTCTGGGAAGATTGACAAATTTGTTGTGAGGGCTTGCCAAGCCTTTTTCAGGGCTGCTAATCCACCTTTGGTGTCCACCTGTGACCCAACTCTCATCTGTGGCTCTGAGAAGCTGTAACATATGCTGTGGCTCCATCCCAGTAAAACTGTCTTGCCAAATGGGCTAAACCAGGTGGAGGGCAACCAATAGGCTTCAGACCGGTGAGTGACTTAGGGGGATGTCTGTCCCAAGCATGTAAGACTTTCCCCCGGTGGAATGGGTGGATGAGAACAATTTGTTCCAGCGACCAGACATTGAAGATGCCAAGGCCATCCATGGCATCCTGGGCTATTGCCAGTCATCTTGACTTTTGTCTTGCTTCTGGCCTTCAGTAACTCCAGAAGAGAGAGAGTGAGGCTGATGACTTTGCGCAGCTCTGCCTCACTTAGACATCATCCACCATCCACTATTTTACCCCAACATTGTGATATCATTGGTCCTTTTTGAAAATGAAAGATGAACAACAATTCTTAGATTAAGTCTATCCTTATACTTAATCTGTGTCCTTATGGTTTCCATGTATTAATGCTTGTTATGTTCTCCTGTGTCAAGGAGAATAAGTCATCATAGAAATGAAAGAGACCCTTGAGGTCATTTAGTCTAACCTCCTTCATTTTACAGTAGAAACTAAAGCCTAGAAAGATTAGTGGCTAGTGAGCAGCAGAGCCAGGCTTTGATGCTGGGGCTTTTCCTCCAAATTCAGTGCTCTGTCTCCTGTACCACATTGCCTACCATTTAATTTTCTTCTACATGACAGCTTTTCAGATACTTGAGGACAGCTGTCTTGCTGTTCCCCCTTATTCTTCCTCATTTATTCAAACTGATCCTCTTCCAACAGTTTTGAATCACCTCACTTTCATAATCCAGGTCTTTCTTACCTCCCTTTGTCTGTGTATATGGTTATTACAGTATATGAATAAATGATTAAGTCTTCACATACCTGTGAGTTAAAAAAAGAAAAAAGGAACTAGTGTTGACAGCCTTGAAAATGAAAATCACTTATTTCATAACAGCCAGAAATATTACCCTGGGACTATGTTCTATTCAACTGACATCTTCTCTTAAATTTAAATTTTGCTTTATGAAGCATTAAGGATTGTACTTGCATTATTTATAGCTAAAATGATATAATATGTACGGGAATTGGTTCCCTCCTTAATTAGTCATAGTGTGCTGTCGCCCAAAAGGCATCATTCTGGTTTCTGGTGGTTAAAGTTGAACTCCAGTGGTGGGGACATCAATAATTCACTTGTGATCAATCAGCAGGACTTACAGGGGTCCCTTTAACATGTAATTGGCCATGTGAGTCTACTCTGATCTTAATTCTCTGCCCTCTCTGCAGGTTCCACAAGTTCTTCACTGTGTGAACACTGGGTAAGCCGGCTTCCAGGGAGTAAGCAAGCCAGCGTCACTTCTGCGGCTTCTTCCAGGCGCACATCTCTGGCTTCACTCTCAGAGTCAGTGGAGTTGACTGGGGAAAGAAGTGAAGATGATGGTATGTACGGGAAGATATGGGAGAAGTAGGAAATGGCTTTTAGAGAGGATATCAAGGAGGGGCTCTTGCAGGGCAGCTAGATGGCATGGTGGATAAAGTGCCAGGCCTGGAGTCAGCAAGACTCCTCTTCCTGAGTTCAAATAGGGTCTCAGACATTTACTAGCTGTGTGACCCTCCTGTCTGCTTTAGTTTCCCTACCTGTAAACTGAGCTGGAGAAGGAAATTATTGCAAATCACTCTAGTATCTTTTCTAAGAAAACCCCAAATGGGGTCACGAGGAGTCAGACACCACTGAACCATAGCAACAACAATAAAGGGGCTCTTTACCTGGCCCCCTGGGGTCTCCAAATTTGTGGGGGTCCTTGAACTTGAATGGGGAAAAAAGGTATATATCTGTCAATATAATTGGTCCCCTTTGTAATCCCATGTATTTTATTTTATGCATTTAAAAATATTATTCTGGGAAGAGGTTCATAGACTTCACAATCCTTCCACAGTGGTCCATGACACAGAAAAGATTAAGAATCTCCAGTGTATAGTTTCTCGGATTTGTGGGGACTACACCTCAAAGGGAGGTTACTAGAGAACAGAGCATTCACAGACACTGGAGTTGTGGGGTAGTTTGCTGACTGGTGGTGTTAAAGCCACAGGTTCTATCAAGAGGATGAGGTGTCCTTCTCTCCCCCATACTCCGTTCTTCCATGCTTTTGTAATAGAGTGTGTTTGTGGTAGAAGAAACTGGACTCATTGCTATTTGACATTGTTAATAGTGCTTACAAGACAAATGGTGGAACTGGTGGAAAGTTTACAACAACAATAATAATAGCAACAGAGGCAGCATGGTATAATGGATGGGGCACTGGACTGGAAGTCAGGAAGACCTGTGTTCAAATTCTGCCTCAGACACTTATTAGCTGAGTGACCCTGGGCATGTTATTTAACTTTTCTATGCCTCCGTTTCCTCATCTTTAAAAATAAGAGGTTTGGACAGAATGACCTGTAAGGTTTCTTCTGTTTCTAAATCTACAATCCTATAAACTCAGATTCATGTAGAACTTTGAGTTTTACGAAATGTTTTTCGCATATTATTTCATTTCATCTTTATAACAACCCTGTGATGTATAGGATATTTTTATCCCCATTTTACAGATAAGAAAACTGAGGTTGAGAGAGGTTAAGCAACCTCCTTAGGATTACATAGCTTAATCAGGTATCTGAATTTAGATTTAAATCCTGATCTATCCCATATGCCACACTGTTTGCATATCATGAAAAGGATAGTTTGGGTGAATCCTGAAGGAGAGTTGTAATATTGTTGTAATATTAAAAAGTTGGAAAGCCACTCATGGAAAAATGAACTCTCCAGTAAGCCTGGTTTGTTTTTGTTTTCTGCTTATTGGTTGAGAAGTCATTAAGTTTATTTTGGGGGGTGGCAGGCCAGAATATTGAACTAATAGTAGCATTAGCTTAGTAGAAAGAATCATTGTTAACAGATGGGTTGTGAGAACCGGGAATATCTGGAGGTTGTTAGCTTAGGTTCTGTCACAAGGAAGGCATCTCATGCTGGTCTTTTGTACCTTACCCTGTGGACTATATGTGAAATGACAGTCAGTCAAGGAGCATTTATTGAACAACACCTACTATGTGCTAAGCACTTGGGATACAGAGATAGGCAAAAACATGGTCCCTGGCCTTAAGATGCTTATAGTCTAATAGGAGAGACTGCATGCAGATAACTTTGTTCATATGAGATATATGCGGTGTAAATGGAGAGTAAGCTCAGAAGGAAGGCACCACCAGTGGGAGAGACAGCGATCCCCTTCTGGAGGGAGATGATCCTTGGAAAGAGAACAAAGAGGTACTGTTTTGTAATAGCAAGAGCACTGCTCTGGGAATCAGTACACGTGGAGTTTAGTCCTGGCTCTTCCTCTCACTGTGTGGCCTTCAGCATGTCACTCTTGCTGGGCCTTGGTTTCCTCAAAGAGAGGTTGGACTAGGTGATCTCTCCAGGAGCCTTCCAGCTCTGACATTCTATGTGGCAAAAAATGACTTGTGGGTCCTCATCTTTTTAGGCAGATGCTGAATAGGGAACACTTAATCCCAAGTTGTCATTATATTTATGATAAAATGAACACATTTTTGTCTCCATTCCACTTGTTTAAAAAAATGGACTTGGTGATCCAGTCAGCCAGTAAACATTAAGTGCCTTCTATGTGCCAGGCACTGGGCTAAGTACTGAAGATGTAAACAAAGGCAAAAGCTGACCCCGGCATTCAAGGAGTCTGCCATCTAATAGAAGAGACAACATGCAAACAACTGCATACAAATAAGCTAGATAGAGGATAAACTGAAGATGGTCAGTAGAGAGAAGGCAGTAGCATTGAGGGGAATCAGGAAAAGCTAGGGATGAGTTTTTTCCTGGGGCCTGAAGAAAGCTCAGTGAGCCAGGAGGGTGAAGGCATTTCAGGCACAGGGAGAGAGCTGGTGTTGTAGGGGGAGGGAAGTCAGTGAAAATGACCTGGAGTCAGGAAGTGGAGTGTCTTGTGTGAGTAAGAGCTAAGGGATTGCAGAGTATGTGAAGAGGGGCTGTGGAGGAAAACTGGAAAGGTGAGGGGAGAGGTCATGAAGGGCTTTGGATGCCTGGAAGTATAGGGAGCCACAGGATTTTACTGAGCAGGGGTGGGGAGTGACACGGTCAGACCTGTGCTTTAGGACTTTTACAGCCGAGTAGAGAATGGGCTGGATTAAGAAAGAGTCTTGAGTCAGGGAAACCAAACAGCAGACACCAGACACTATTATTTTTGGGAGTTGATAGGGCTAGAAATAATGTGTTATGTTTGAGGCAACTCCAGAAAAATGGGAGTTTTAATTATGGTGTAAATAAGGCAACTATAAAAATGAGTAATACCGAGAGAAAATTAGGGAAACCACATTTTGCTTAAAGACACCATGGGCAATGAAACAATAATAGTGCTGAGTAGGTATATACCAAATGGCACGCCTCTAGATTCTTCTTTTGAAAAACAAGTTAATTTTCATTTCTATCTTTTGTTTTTATATCACTTTCATATCCAAATATGTTCTTATCCTTTCACCTATGTATCGTAACAAGCCACCCATTATAACAAAATATAAAAAAAGGAAGAAGAAGGGGGGAAAACCAGTTCAGTGACACTGTTTTCTATGGCCGAATATTTATTTTATGCTTCACCTTAACTTTGTTTTCTTTACTTTTCTCAGGTGGGTTCTCAACCCGACCCTTTGTAAGAAGTGTCCAGCGCCAAAGCTTGTCATCCAGGTCCTCTGTTACCAGCCCATTGGCCGTCAATGAAAATTGCATTCGACCCTCTTGGTCCCTGTCTGCTAAGCTGCAAATGCGTTCTAACTCTCCGTCACGTTTTTGTGGTGACTCTCCTGTGCATGCTTCTGCCTCTACCCTGGAGAAGATAGGGGAGGCAATAGATGATAAAGTCTCTATCTCTTGCTTTGGTAGCTTAAGGAACCTTTCTAGTAGCTACATGGAGCCAAGTGAGAGCCACAGCAGGCGTGAGCACAGGGCCACGGGTAGAGCTCCTTTGGCTGTCATGGAAAGTGTATTCAGAGACGAATCGGCTACCAGGAAAGTGACCTCGAGTCTTTCTGATACACAGAGCAAAAGCTCAGCGCACGTGGATCGAGTGCATCCTGTTTCAGATCCTTTTGACAACAATAATCAGATTGCCTATGTGGATCAGAGTGATTCTGTTGACAGCTCCCCAGTCAAAGAGGCAAAGACCCCAAGTGGCTCTGGCTTACTTGTGGAAAAGTCAGACAGCACAACTAAGAAATCCCCTACCTCCAAAGGGGTTTCTGAGCCAGATAAAAGCCTGAGGAAAGGGAGGACAGTCTTGGTTCGCCAGGAATCATCTCTTTCAAACACATCACCCACTTCTCCTGTTCCCTTAAAAAGTTCTGTAAAGACTTCTCGCTCCAGAAGCAAAGCAGAATCTTCCCAGGTTAGTGGGCGACACTCATCCCCTCTTCCTGGTCAGCCCAAAAAGGAGTCATCTACAAAATCCCAGGACATTGTAGCTATTCAGCAGAAGCAAAAGTTAACTTCCTCCCCGGCTTCTATTTCTTCCTCTACAGCTGCCAAAAAACCCCCTCTGGGCTCTGCCACCAGGGGTCCCTCCTCTGCTGGGAAGAGTAGGACTTCAGACCGAAGCCTGAGCCGGGAAGGCTCCAAAGTAAGCCTAGGCTCTGACAAAGCCAGTGTCACGTCCACCTCCAAACCAAATTCCCCTCGGGTGGGTCAGTCTAAAGGAGGGGAGAGCAGAATGGATGGAAAGCATGTTAGGAGTTCCTCCATGGCCAGCCTGCGGTCTCCCAACCCAGGCATGAAGTCAGGTTTGAAGAGGGACAGCAAGTCAGAAGACAAGGGACTGTCCTTCTTCAAATCAGCTCTGAGGCAGAAGGAGACACGGAGGTCAACTGATCTTGGGAAAACCACGTTGCTCACCAAAAAATCAGGTGGAGGCTCTACCAAGTCGATCAGTAAGAATATGGTAGATGAGAAGTCGGAGAAAGGCAGCCAGCCACCCTCCTCCCAGCAGCCAAATGCAAATACTGTTTCAAAAGAGCAGCCTGCTTCCAAGGATTCTACTTCTGTAAAACATTCCCTGCTTTCTACCCACAGATCCAGGTCTTCCCAGCTAGATCCTGGAAATCCCTTGTCTTCTAGTAGCAAGCAGTCTGCCGAGAAATCTTTAAAAAAGTTACCTTCTAGCATGCACACCTCTGCACGGCCTTCTCAAAAACCTCAGTGAGATTTCTGCAAACCAGGTGTTTTATCTGTAAAGACACTTATTTATTTAGAATCGAGAACTCTTATTTTCATTCCCTTTCCCTGATATTTCCCCTCCCCTGCCCCCCTGCTTTTGTTTTGTAATTTTTGGTTCATGTGCCTAACGTATGTGTGTGTGTGTGTGTGTGAGGAGAACTAAACCGCAGTGTGTCGAAGTGTCTCCTTCTGCCATCAAACCAAATAATAGCCATAGGCAAAGAAAGCAGTGACACCAAGTTAACTGGAATAATTGTAAAAAAAACAAAACAAAACCATAATCCTGGACTGCCTCTTAGCACTTGTGCATATTTCTTTCTAGTGAAATGCCGCAACTTTTCGTCAGACACTAGGGTTTTGAAACCTGTGAACCAGTTATGCTGTAAGTAGTATACGCTCTGTAGAACTGTGAAATAATATTATTTTGGGTTTTTGCCTGAGCAGAAATTATCCTCATTGATTTGTGGATTGTCGTCTAGTGTGGTAAAGTGTAGAAGCTAACAGTGAAACTGAAAGACCGTTGCTGCTTCTGCTCTGGCCCCTTGTCTTCAATCTTTTTTAAAGGGCAATATTTTAACACTAATGTTGTTTCTCAGGTATATACTCGGCTAGTATAAGAGGGATGAGCATTAGTGAATGAACTGAATATAAAGGTAACCTTTCATGTGTGAATGTATGTAATTTTCTCTTAGTGTCATGGATGTAAGCTTTTTGAGATGTAAAGAACCTTTTATTACTGTCATATTGGTGAAGATGTGTGTATACCTTAGCTGGCTATCCCTTGACTCTTGGACATTGTGCTAAGAGATGGTGAATTGGATAGCAAGAAGCTAGTCAGTATCCATTCTTTTCCTCCCTCCATTGGAATTCTGAAATATAGCCACTCATCAGCATCTTCTAAGTTGTACCCTGATAATATGGATTATTATTTTTTTTAACTGGAATCATGTACCTGGTGGTGCGAATGATGCCTGGGTGATGTATAGATGTACCACTCTCCCTCTTTGGCTGCCACTTCTTGTCTGTAAACAGAAGAATCGAATCTTGCCTTTTGGAGGTGTGCTTCTGAAGTTTCTGTATCTCTCAGCCCAATGCCAAAAGTCAGCAATGCAATATCAGTGCTCAGTGTAACAAAATATTAAATACCTTTTTTAAATGTTTCTCTTTAAGGCTTGATTTTAACTGTGTTTTCCAGCAAACAGTTCCTCTCCCTACAGATTTTATCTCCCTTGATCCCTTCCCCTAATCTATAGTCAAAACTAAAGCTCATTCTACAAGGCAACAAATTACCTTTCTTGTTTCGAAAATGGAAACATCTCCCACCTTGCTCAATTTACAATGTTCACACAGATGCTGCATTTATTTTTTAAGTTGTATAGACATATCCTGGCTTCATGCCTCTCTTCTCTTCCTTATGAGAGCTGTATAATCTGGGTTCTTGGTGAAACGGACTTTGCCACGATACAGGGTGGGATGTGCTTAGTTTCATATTCATATGTTCTCTAATTGGCGTGTTTTCCCATGTCAGTGTTTTTCCAACCCATAAATTCACCCAACTCTACATGAACTTTAAATATTCATATCTATTTATAATCTTTTCTACTTAGTAACTAATGCAAATAGTTTTATTCATCCTGTCATATCCTTTGCTCAACTTTTTTGCTTTTTTGGGTTGGAGGAGGATGGGGAAATGTTGGCATCAGGTCACTTGTCTTACATAATTGCTAATTTGAGCATAAAGGAGACTAATAGATCTGGAAACCATTCATGTAAGGGTAGCCAAACATCTAAGACCTTGCAATATTAAAATTCTTTTATATTATGAATATTTCTGTAATGCTTACTGTATTTCATTTATCATGACCTTGTTGGCAATAGCGCTCTGCCTGATAATGCCAGTTTGATTGCCATTTCCTCTCTGTGTGATATAGGCATCGATTCCATGCCAAAGCAGTGTTGCTTTCTGGTTCTCCTGTTATTTGGCGTCTGGACAAACTTCTTTTGATGTTGTTACTACTGGTATGTTGAGTTTTGCATAGTTACCTTTCCTCAGAACAATATTTTAAACCCAATGTGATCATAACACCCCTCTCTAGCTATGGTGTAGATTTTCTACAATCCAAAAGGGCATAAGATATGAAGAGTGTCAAAAACAGCTGAATGAATGACTTCTCATGAAGCTCCATTCCTTTGAATATAGGGCAGGTTTGATTTGGAAGGGTCACATCACCGAAACTTGAAAAGCAGCTTTAGAGTAGTTACGAGAATTTCTTTTGGAGGGGATTTATTGTGGTAGTTACCAGTGAAATAGTTAAACCTGAATAGAAATTAGCTTCATTTCCAGACAGAAACTTAAATTTTGAAATTTTTGTTGCTTTTGTATAGGAATTAAAAAAAAACCTAACCTTTAAATTCCAGGAGATAATTGCTTTGAGCTCAAATATAATTTTTCATTATGTATTAACATTATTTAGCTAATAGAATTGGCTCTCCTTTCTGGTCAGCTAAAATCACACATAACTATGCTTTCGGGAATGACTATGTCATTGTCTTGACATTTTGATGCTATTTGATTTCCTTTAATTTTCTTGTTTGATAAACAATGAAAATCTGATGAAATAACAAAGATTTAATTATCTTAAACTACTGCATGCTTTAAGGACACCAGACAGTGAACACAGAAAAAGGACAGAGAATTGTTGTGCTCAAGGACATTTTGCCAAAATGCTTCCAGGAATGGCTTCAATAAGTTGGTTAAAAGCAAAAACAATTCAGTTTTTTCTTTTTAAACATGGGCCAGATTTTTTTTTCCCCCTGTTGATATTTGGAATAAGGTGCTTGCTCATTTGTTTGGGTGAACAATTGTCTATAGATCATCATGGTCTTGTGTTTGTGAAAGCTGTTTAGAGAGGTGGAGTTAGAAGGAATTATTACCTGGTAAGCACAAAGAAATCACTAACAAGTCTTGTAACTAGAGCAAATCCATAGTACTTTATCATCATCATCATTATTATTGATGTCTTTGGCATTGTTCACTTTGAGATAGAATTGGGAATATCCAGATTCTCCCCTCCTCCCTTTTGATAAAGAGACATGATGGTAAAGAAATAATGTTTTCGAGCATTGTCTTTCACGCCCATAAGCCCTTTACTGCATCCCCTTTTCCTAATCCTTACGGCAACCTTGTGCCAAGTCAATAACAATTCATGCTGGACATACAGAAGTGAATGTTAGAGTATCTGTGGTTTGGTAAATGTTTGTAGTCATCTGAAAGGCTGCCTTGAAATTTCTTATTCAATACATGAAATAAATTGAAAGGGATATTTATGTAAAAAAATTGTAAATTCACTCCTCAAGTTAACTTTACTTTAGCTCAGGGGCACCTAGAGTACAGCCCATACACCAAAAGAAGTCCATGCAGCCCTAACTAGGGCCCCCTCCCCAGCAAAGAAATCTATTTTGCAGATCTCGCTGAATTAGCATGTGCTGGGAAGGGTAGTTCTTGCAACCAATTCTCTTTTATAGTGTAGTTGTAACCAATTTCATTTTATGGAAAGTAGATGTGGTCCTCATTTACCCATCAATCCACTATCTGTCTTCCCATTGGTTTAACGCTAATGCAGCCCAGCAATGAAGCTCTTTAACTAAATTCCTTACACTAGAATTTGATCCTTCCATGTTTGAGGTGAATCAGTGTGATTTTATTTGATTTTTGTTTTTTGGAAAGAGAAGAAAGCAAGACCCACTTTTCTTCAAGATAGTTTCCAAGGAGAAAGATATGATAAAAAGACTGGAAAGAAAACACCTGGCTGCAGCTTTTAATGGAAAATGGAGGACCAGGGAATGAATCCTTTTTTTCAAATGGGGAAACCATGGGTTTAAAGAATGGGTTTTCATTTGGTCTATAAATTTCATCCTGATACATTGCCTTTTTAGATCATTGAGCAATTAAGATTTTTTTTTGGGGGGTGTCCAATTTCAAAGTTGTTGTAATTTTATGATAGAAAGAAATTATTTCTGGGCTGGATTTTAGGGATAGTAGTTAATAGTATGCAAATCATAAGCACATTTTCAATGGAAAAAACCAAACCCAACAACGACCCCTTATACTATGTGAGGCACTTTGAACTTTGCCTTAGTGGGAGAGCTGAGAAATACACATTTTAATGACAAACTGGTGCCTATATCTTTCTAAACATGAAGTGTATGTGTCATTCTGCAAGGTTTTTGTCCCTTTGGTTCACAAATGGTTTTTATAGCTAAGTCAGACCATATGCTTTAGATGGAAACATGACACTTTGATTACAGTACATCTAAACTGCCTCTATGACTCTCCCACCCCCATCCCTTCCCCCCCCACATACCCCATTTCCTTTTGTTCAGCTCCCAAAATGTAGAATTCTTTGCTTTCCACAGCTGTAATTTGAGCATGACCCACCATCTTCCCCCTACCCCCAACCCCCACCCCAAGTAACAAGAACAATTCTGCATGGCCTTTATCTAGTGCTGCATCCTGAATGCATGCTCTCATTAACTATGCAAGCAACTGATACTGACCATAGATGGCACTAACTGCTTAAAGTGAAGCTATTAGATAATGGAACTCTATTTTTCAATTTGTTGTTTTGTTTCCTATATGACCTGAGTATCCATACACTCAGGAGCACGTATATGGTTTCTTGCTTTATTTTGCACATCCGTGACTCTCTTCTTTGCAGAAATTTTGGATTATTGACAAGATTGATGTGTAAAATTCCTAAGTATTTTTCAAATAGGAAAAGTATTGGATGTGTTGAAATGACAATATGCTGGTTTATGTATTATATTGTGGTGTCTAGGTAATCTCCTAATGTGTCCTCTTCTCTAAGTAACCTGCCATTTTTCTATAGGATTTTAATGATTTATATCTTCTATATGACATCATGGTCTCAAGGAAAGACAAAAGCTTCTAGCAGCATTGACAATTAAAAAAAAACAAACCATGCTTTTGTAGAACTTTAGTGCTCTTTGAAGCTGATGTTTCCAGCCACCAGACCTAATAGGACTAGTACTATGGTGTTTATGGCAGTACTGTACAATGAGTTCAGATCTAGAACTATCTCCCATTTGTTAATCCATCTGGTATAGAAGGCTTCAAACCTCTTAGATAAGAGACCTGGTAAGGAAGAGCCTGAAGTCCTGAAGGGAACAGAGCAATGACTGGCATGCAAATTTAAGTCACAAGGCACTTGTGAAAATGGGGTCTTGGTTTGCTAGAGTGGGCAGCACACTGGAGGGCTTGGTGTTCTTGGTAGCCCTCTGACCTTGTCTGTGTATAGCAAGTGGAGACTTCCTTGGTGGAGTCATGGAATTCTCAATGAATAATAAAGTGACGAAAGCTAAGACCAACTATCTTTGAAAAGCATATCAGTAGTTAGAAGAGGCTACCTCTTAATACCAATGTCCTTTTCATAGTGAGCAATTAAAATTGCAATTACCAGATGGCCTGAACATTGCTTTTGAACTCTTTATTGTGGTCCTTTGCAGGATAGCAGTTTCAGGAATTCTTCCTAGTTTAAAAACAAACGTGAAGAGTTTTATTTTGAATTAACATTTGATATAATTTTTCCCCTGTAATCTTTTTTTTTTTAAAGCATCTCTTGTAGAATTTGCCAAGTGACCCTAAATAATTTGGCTATACATGCAGAGGCAACTGAAATTTAGTTTTAATCTTTGGTGAGCCAGAAGTACTGTGGACACCACATAATAAAGCCAATTGTCAAACTTAGCTGTTTATCCTGTGGAGCATTATTTTACAGACAATTGGAAGTCAGGATAACATAACCTTTAAGCTTAATGCAAAGGAAGCCAGTAGGGCCCAAATACATCTGTTTAAAACACATCCAGAATAATGGTGGAAGTACATATAAGTTGAACTCCTTGAGAAGTTTGAGGAGTGAATTCTGTAGGCGGTCATGAAAAAGCAGCATGAAATTGTTCTAGGTGCTATCTTGAAAGCTTTGGTGTCAGTACACCAAAGGGAAAATGGCTATAGTATTCTCTGAAGATAAAGTCCTCTTTTGTGGCCTTTCAAGCGCACCATACAGGATTGCTCACCAATTGTGCCTCACCATTGGTTAAAATTGAATTCGGATCTCATTGCAAATATAGTTTCTTGACTGAAGTCAAACTTCAGTTTTTACACTGGAATTTCTACAGTTCTTCTCAAAGCTGCATGTCATTGTCACTGTACACAAAAACATTTTGGTATAGTTCACACCTTTGATATTGGCTTCTGTATAAATACTTTTGAGTTGTACAGTAATCTGGAAAGCAGGATGTCTTTATCTGAGGCTGGAGGAAACATAATTGTGCCGTAAATTTTAAATTATTGAGGACAAGTGCATGAGACTGTGTCAATGCCTCCTGTTATTTATTTGTATGTTTTATTATTCAAGGTGGATGCACTTTTAATATGCAGAATTTATATTTTTATGTTAAAACATTTCCTTTCTGAAAGAACAGTTTGAATATTATAGTATGTAGCTGGAATTAAGAGAAAAGTGGAAAATGTAATAAAATACATTAAATTTATTACATGATGTTCTGGTCGAATCCTTTTCCTCTTTCCTCAATAATTAGCAAGACACCTACATTTTGGTGTTGATTTAAGAATATCTTCTGTTTTGTAAGATGAAAACAAACTGCCAAATATTTTTTTCTTTCCTCTTACCTTCCTCTTTCTAATTACCCCTTTGACTCTTTTTAATTTTCCCCAGAATATCTACCCACCTTCCTCCTCTTGTCTTCCCTTCTCCCTTCTCCTTTTCTACCATTTCCTCCTTTCCCCTTCTCCCCTTCCTCCATCACTTACCCTTCCTGTTCTCTTCCTTCTTTACTCCTGTCTCTCCTCTCCCTTACACTACCCCTTTCTTTCCCCTCTCCTTTCCTTCCCTCTCTGCTTTTCCCACATTTTCTCCTTTTTCCTTTCTCCACCACCTTTTCTTTTCTTCTCCATCCCATTCTCTCCCTTCATTGCTTCCCTTCCGTTCCCTCTCTGTTCCCTTTCTTACCTTTCCATCTCCCTTTTCCCTTTCTTATCTCCCCCTCCCCCCACTTCCCTTTCCCCAGTGTCTTCCTAATCTCTCCAAATGTGCAACGCAGACTCAGCCTGGCCTCTCTCAGAACTTTTTGGTGTGGTTATATTGCTGATGGCCACTTGGGGGCACTAAAGTTCTGTACAACTGTAAAATGTGCCCTATAAGTCCTGAAATCCTAATAGTCATTAAAAAAAAATACCCTTGCTGCTTCCGATTGAGGAATTAAGTACTTACGTGCATTTAGAAAATGGGTAGAGGGTTCAGTTTGGGAAAGAGCTACAGTCACGTCTTGCTTTTTTCTACCATATGTTATTGGGAAAACTCATCACAAATGAGATATGTTAAATGAATCATATTCACATAGGAACAGTGTTATGACTGAGTATTGCATTCCTGATGAAGGACTTTGGATTAAATAATATTTTATGGCCAGCAATATGCCATAAAAACAACTATACATTAAAAAAAATCTAGATCTCTTATTTCACTGGTATGGGGAACTCCATCCATGCAGAGAGGCAACTTTTCTATAAATTACAGTCTTTGATAGTTCCTTGGAGGCAATTGAGAAATTAAGTGAGCTGCTATGGTCACATAGCTGGTATGTAGCTGAGGCCACATTTAGACTTCCAGCTCTGACTGGTCCCTTCCCCACTCTACCATATTGTCTCTAAAATAGTTTTAAGCCTCTATAATAATTTAAAATCGTACATTTATTCCCAGGCCCCATAAATAAGGATATAAATGTACTCGACACACTGATTACACAGTATCAGCATAACTCATAAAAATGCACGTTTGACTTCAAGGTCCTTTTTTTTACGTAGAGGAAACAGATACTTCATAATTTTGTTCCCCTCTTTGAAATCAGAATTAGGTTTACTCAAAGTAGGGTCCCATGCTTCCTTAAAGATGTGTACAGGAAAGTTTGAAATGATGCCTTTTTCTTTTGATCTAAATGTCCCTGTAGCAGACTGAAGACTTCCAAATGATGCTAGCAGTGCATGGTAAAGAGTCTCAGCTGAGGAGTCTGAATACCTGGGGTTTAGTCCAACAAACTGTGTGACTCAGGCAAGTCACCTCACCTGTCTGTGACTTCTTTGTGAAACCAACTTCATCTCTGTGGTTCCTTCTTTCTCTAATGAGCCATGATGTTGACCTTGAACTGCATCATTTAAAAATAGGCCATAATTATTGACTGATACATTCCCATAGCAAGAGGCTGTCAAATCAGATCAGACAGAGAAATGGGCAAAACCTGCATTGAGCCATGTCAGGGCAGCAGAAGTTGGGTGCTGCCTGAATGTATATTGCTTATCCAGAGTTTGCCTGGAATTGGTACAGTAGAAATGAAGTTAATAAAAAACAAAACTACCTGGTTTCATGGGATTTCTTAAAACTCTTCTTCCCATCTTTTTTAGCATAGCTTAAGATGCTATGAGAGACAATAATAATAATAATAATAATAATAGCTAATGAGAGCTAGCATTTAAAAAATTTAATATTTCCCCCCCAGTTACATGTAAAAGCAATTTTTAACATTCATTTAAAAATTTTTTGAATTCCAAATTCTCTCCCTCCCTGGCATTCCCCCCTCATTGATAAGGTAAGTAGGTAGCATTTCTATAGCACCTTAAGGATGATAAAGCACTTTATAGACATTCTTATTTTATTCTCTTAACAACCTCAGGAAGTAGGTGTCATTGTTATTTACATTTTACAGATGAGGAAACTGAGGCAGATAGGTTAAATGGCCTGCCTTAGGGTCACATGGCTTGGAAGGATCTGAGGCCAGATTTGAACTCAAGCTTTCCTGACTCCAGGTCCAGCCCTCCTACTTGACAGTGGTGGCTAATCCTAGATTTAGGAAGCCTTGGATTCACAGTCTGCCTTTGACGCATACAGGCTGTGTGATGGAGAACAAATCACTTAACCTCTCACATGCTGCAGGCAACTCATAATTAGAAATTTCAGAGCAGTTGCTGATCTGCTTTGTAGAGGGAGTCCCTGATGAAATGACAGGTCTGGATAAAACAACAGCACCAGCAAATACAAAATGATGCTAAAAGGTAACATTGTGGAATGATCACGTTTGCCATATCTTACCCTAGAATTTTGAACTGGAAGGGACCTTCATGCCCATCTAATCTAACCCCCTCATTTTATAGATGAGAAAACTGAGGACCAAAAACCCGGATTTATGATCACTTAGACTTAGGATTTCACTGGTGGGGGATTTTCCACTGTGGAAACCCCACAGGATGAGGTTAAAATGACTTGTCCAAGGTCACAAGCATAGTAAGTGTCAGTCCTTCAATTCCAACCCAAGTCCTTCATTTCCTGTCAGTGCTCCATCTAAGGAAAGAGCCCAGATCAGCTATTTCTTCATTTCCCATTTGGCGGTCCTCCTCAAAACTTTTCTATCCTCTTCTTGTGCCTGGCCATTGCCCTTCTCCCTTTTCAGCTTCCTTTTGTATCTTGTCTTCTCGCCATAAATTTGTGAGCTCCTTTAAGGCAGGGATCATCTTTCTTTTTCATATTTTTATACCCAGTGCTTTGCACAATGTCTGGCACATAGTTGACTTAATAGATATTTATTGACTGACTGACTCCACTGCATTAGCCTGCCTAACCTTATAAAATTAAATGAACTATGCAAGTGTAAGATAAGAATGCCCTCAGAAGTTTTGTTGTTTTAAGCTACAGCACCTTACGTATCTGGGCAGCTAGGTGGCGCCATAGTGCATAGAGTGCTGGGCCTGGAGTCAGGAAGCCTAATCTGTGAGTTCAAATCTGGCCTCAGACACTTATTAGCTATGTGACCCTGGGCAAATCATTTAAGCTTATTTGCCTCAGTTTCCTCATCTGGAAAATGAGCTGAAGAAGGAAATGGCAACCACTCCAGTATCTTTGCCAAGAAAACCTCAAAAATGAGGTCATGCGTCAGATATGACTGAACGATAGCAAAAAAACTTAGCTATTATGTGGTCTACCCCACTTCATTGATGAAGAAACTTAGGCTCAGATAAGTGAAGGGATTTTATAACTTGAAAGTAGAAGAGTTTGCATTAGGGTTTAAGTTTCCTGATTAGAGAAGTAAAATATCCAGGGATGTTGAATCTGTTGGGAAGAGAAATCTTTTTTTCTAGTTTTTTTTTTTTTAATTGTTGGGAGGGGACATTTGTTTGAAAAGTTTTAAAAGGAAATTTGGGGAAGAGGATACAAAATTCTTCTGTATTACAAAAATTATAGGAGATTGAAGGCACTATTGAGTGGGTTGTAGAGAATGAAGCATAAAACAAATCTTGAGAAATAGCTAAGCAGGGGAAAGTCCCCGCTGAGATACGTAAACTATCCTAGGCTTACTTACTTCGACAAGCTCATAGATGAGTACTTGATGAACTGCTTCTCTCTTGAACTAATGCAATAGCTTGCTAATTGTTCTCTCTGTCTCCATTCTTTTTCTTCCATTCCATCCTTCACATAGCTGCCGAAATAATCTTCCTTATACAAAGGTCCAATCCTGTCCTTCCTCTGCTTAGAAACTTGTATTAGCTCCTGATTCTCTGTAGCACAAAATATGGAATCCTTAGTTTGCCTTTTAATGACCTCTGTAGTTTTGCTAGAACCTATCTGTTCAGCCTCAATTCCCACGATTTCCTTACTCATGCTCTATAGCAGCTGAACTGAACTATTAGTTATTCTTTATACTTATCCTCATTCTCTGCATTTGGACAGGTTGCCTCCACCCACCCTATGCCTGGCACTCACTCTCCTCCCCCCTCTCAACTCTACCTGTTGAAATCCTCTTCCTTTATGCCCAGTTCATGCTCCAACTTGCTCTTCCATTTCAAGGAAACCTTCTCTGGACTTCTCTACTAAGTAATAAGTCCCTCTTGCAATTTTTCGGGAAGCTCTTGCCTGGATCTCTCTTTGCCACTGTAATATTCTAGCCTGTGTTATCCTTATTTATGTTCATATCATATCCTCCACATGAGGCTCTACACTCTCTGTTTCTTGAAGACAGGACTGTACCATTTTTATAGTTACATTCCAAGCACCATCTCAGTTCTTTGTATATGCTAGGTACTTAATATTAACATTTTTGTTATTGTTCAGTCATTTCAGTCATGTCTGACTCATGACCCTGCTTTTTGAGGTTTTCTTCACAAAGATATTGGAGCGGTTTGCCATTTCCTTCTCTAGCTCATTTGACAAATGAGGAAACTGAGGCAAAGAGGGTTAAGTGACTTGCCCAGGGTCACACAACTAGTAAGTGTCTGAGGCCAGATTTGAACTCAGGAAGATGAGCCTTCCTGATCCCAGTCCCAGCACTCTATCCACTGTCCCACCTAGCTGCTCTAATTAATAAGCATTAGTTGAATTAAATTAATGTTTTCTGTTAGTATGTAGTTAGCTGTGTGTTCCTGGTCACCTAGACAATTACTTGCCTATGAATGGTATGCTTGGATTGATTGTTTCTCACTTCTACAA